GGAATAAGCGCCTGGCAAGCACAAGGACCTGAGTTCAATCCCCGGTTCCGCCAAAAATAAATAAATAAATAAATAAATAGGGGGCCGGGAGATGGCTCAGTGGAATAAGTGCTTCCCTGGCAAGCGCAAGGATCTGAGTTCAATCTCCGGTTCCGCCAAAAAAATAAATAAATTTAAAAAATAAACAAAAACATAAATAAATACGACTAGGGACTTAGCTCCATCGCTGAGCGCCCCCGGATTCCATCTCCATCTTCAAAATAAACTAATTAGCAAATTATACAGTAAATTTTTAAATTAAAAGAAATTGTCATCCACTTGTTAGCAACATTTTAAGCCTCTCAGCCAACCCGCCCATCCCCAGGTTGCTCGCCCCATCGATTTTTCTTCCCTTGCAGATTAACATGCGCTTCGCAGCCCGAGAGGGCTCCCGCGCTCCGGCGAGGCCCCGAGGCCCGGAAGCGGCGCGGCCCCAGCGCGCCCGGCCGCTCCGCATCTGAACGCAGCCCCGGTCGCAGCCTGCAGGGGCCGCGCGGGCGCAGCGCGCGGGAGGCCCCGCCCGTCACGTGCCTGCGCATGACGTCACACCCGGAAGTGGCGGGCACGCGCAGCCGGTGGCGATGAGCGGGGAGCCCGAGGAGCTGTCCGTGGCGCCCCCTCCCGGGGAGGTGGAACCGGGCAGCGGGGTCCGCATCGTGGTGGAGTACTGGTGAGCAGCTGCGGCGGGCGGGCCTCCGCATGTCCCGGGAGGGACGGATCCCCCTGCACGGGTCCCCCTCCCGGAGACACTAGCCCACCCGCCTCTCTTCCCTAGCGAGCCCTGCGGCTTCGAGGCCACCTACCTGGAGCTGGCCAGCGCCGTGAAGGAGCAGTACCCAGGCATCGAGATCGAGTCGCGCCTCGGAGGCACGGGTGAGGCCACGATCGCCTGCGGAGTCAGGCTGTGTTCCGGGCCCCGGCACTGCCGTTCTAGCTCGGACACTGGCTGCTTCAGTCAAGTGCCCAGCAGCGTTTGGCACATAGTAAAAGCACCCCGCGAGTCCCCTTCCCTAGGTGAGGGGGCCACAGACAGAGCTTGCGGGGAGAAAGCTGTTGGCAGTGGCTGGGTGTGGACTGCAGCACCGAGGCTGAGGTAGGATAGGCTGGACTCTGAGTTAGAGGCCAGCCTCAACTATATAGCCGGACCTTCTGTGAAAAAAATAAAAAAGAAAACCTGTTGGACTAGTGCAGGTTTGGAGAGGAGCCCTTTATCGAGAGCCTGAAAACAGGGGTCCTGCAGGTCACTTTGGAGTTGACCTGGGGTGACCTTTTCCGGTGTCTGATGGGGCTCAAGCCTTGGGCTCTGGAGTACCACCCACTCCCGTTTATTCCCTACCAGGAGCATTTGAGATCGAGATCAATGGACAGCTGGTCTTCTCCAAGTTGGAGAACGGGGGCTTCCCTTATGAGAAAGACGTGAGTATTTGCAGTACAGTGCAGGGCGGGGCACCCCGACCCCAACAGTGTATCATCCTCTTGTGCATCTCCGCACCCTTCTAGCTCATCGAGGCCATCCGCAGAGCCAGTAATGGAGAACCGCTAGAGAAGATCACCAACAGCCGCCCGCCCTGCACCATCCTGTGAGGGCTCCAAGTTCCAGGGTCCATGCCTTGGTTTCCCTGAGTCCTGCTGGGAGCTCTCACCCGCCCACCTCTTTCCCTTCGCTTAGCTCCAGGCAGCTAAGGACCCTGGCCTCCACTGTACCCTTTTGAGCAGAGAAGGGAAGAGGAGCCTTTGCGGCTGTGAGGGTAGGAGTGGTGGGGCTCTTGGTAGACTTTCCACAACCACCTCGCACCGCCTTCCTGGGCTCCGTGTGGGTGTGCGGCCAAGCCCTGTCCCAGTACTTGGCAGAGCGCGGTGGATCTAACTCACATGCCCAGAGCCCTGGGCCATGTCAGCTGTTGGAATAAAGAGGCCCTCCAAACACTCAGCAGTGGTGTGTGTTTACACGGCAGGTCCAGGGGCATGGCTGCACCGAGGTCAGCCTGGCCTCCAGACTGCTGGGTGGGTGGGCAGCTCCTCTTAGCAAGGCCAAGAAATTGAGTCACATAAGACGATGCCTCCCGTCTTCCCCAGCATTCCCCAGTCCCCTTCCCACCGGGAAGAAGTAACCCCATTCTGGGGATGGGCTTTGGGGTGAGTTGGACAGTGCCCAAGTGAGAGGTGGCTGTGAGTCCTAAGGGAGCTGATTTGGCTTAGGCTCTGGGAAGACCCCAGCCAACCGTTCCCCAGAAGAGACCTATGGGCAAGGTGGGCAGTGGGGCCTGGCACAAAACTACCCCAGACAGAGGCTGGGCCCAGCTGTCTGCAAATGGAAAAAGTGGATATGGAAAGGGGCTCCCTCCCCTCCCCCAGGGTACCCCTGTTCACAGGACACTCACTCTTCCTCGGAGTCCTTATTTCATCTTTAAAAAAACAAGTAAAAACAAAACAAAAAACGCTTTGTACAGGTGTGGGTCTGGGCACTGGTTCCTGTCCTCCCCTGGGGTAGTGCTAGGTCTCAGGGCCAGGCTCCCAGAGGCCACCCTTGTCCTTAGCCACTCCCCAGGGACCACCTTCTCCCTCGGCTCAGCTTCTCAATCCAGTACCACGCATCTGTAAAAGGGCCAAGCAGGGCTGTGGCCTCAGGTACAGTCACTGTGGCGGTGGCAGCCACCAGCTAGCCCCAAGTCCGCAGGCTCCAAATCCAAAGCCTGCTTGGTGCCGTCCCTCTTGTGATCAGGCTCAGGTGCCTGCTTGGCCCTCTGGGAATCCAAGCAGCAGCAAGGTTCCTTGGTGCGGTTCCTGGCCCATGGGCCTCCTGGCTCACACAGGCACATCTAGGCCCAGGTACTCTGGGTTCTCTGCTGTCGGGGTCCCTTCAAAGGTGCTGGGTGGAGACCCCTCTTCTGGTGGGTCCTGGTCCCAGTAATAGAGGTTGTCAAAGGCAGGGCTGAACGCAGGTGGAGGATGGGGCGGGGCGCCTCCCCGGGATGCCAAGTACTCCGGGTTCTCCACTGTACCCCCAAAGGCAAAAACGTCCTTGACAACCCCATTCTTCCCAGGGGAGAGAGTCTTGGGCCTTTCCAGAGTGGCACCAGCAGGGCGGACAGGGGACAAAGGACCCTCTAGGGGTGAAGGCGGCTGTGGCCGGATTTCTGGCTGGTTGACATATTCTGAAAGGGCAAAGAGGACCATTAGGGAGAGGAAGTGGGGTGTCCCTGAGCCTAAGTGAGGCTCCCCTCCTTCCAGTCTCCATCTCAGCCCAGCCTGGACTCCATACCAGGCTGGGGGCTGCAGGTCAGTGGGGGGACATAGCCGTCTGTCTCCTGAGCCAGAGGAACAGTGGGGTCCTCGCTGTACCGCTGCAGGGGGCTGGGGTCGTGTGGAGGGAGACTCTGCAGCCCCTTGGCTGCCGCCGTTCCTGGCTCACCCTCAAACACGTCGGAGCCAGCCCCTTCTGAGGGGGCCAGTGGAGACCGGGGGGGCTCCTCCTCGGGGGGCTCCAGCCCCAGGGTCGGTTCTCCACCGCCGCTCTAGGGGCAGAAGAGAAAGATGTGCGGGGTCCTAATAACAGGGCCCCTTGTGAACCTGAGGAGGTTCCCTGGGAGAGAGAAGCAAGGTCACCTTCGGAGGTGATGGTTATGATCACAGTGGAGAGAATGTGGTCACAGGGTCTCCATGAGAGGGTTGGTTAGGGGACATCAGGGACAGGGACCCTAGTACATGGGCTTGGGCAAGCAAACAGCCGGCCTGGTGCCCTGGCACTGACCCGGGTGGACGAGCTTCGGTGCCTGCGGTGGGCTGTGCCCGTGGCACCCGGACTGGGGTCCGGGCAGAAGAAGCCCTGCTGGGGAACCAGATACTCCTCCGCATCCACCAGGTCCCCCATGTCATCATCTTCTATCAGCGAGCGGTAGAAAGTGCTGTCCAGGGGGCTGGTAGGGCCCAGGTCCTCATTCTAGGGAAGCAGGAGACCTGTGGCAGTCCTTGCATGGGGACACTCAGGGGTGCCCCCTGCCACCTCTGCAGGAGGCATGGGAAGGCTGGGTACCTGAATGACCACGAAACGCTGGGGGTCCCTGGCCATGCGGGAGAACTCAGACACCAGCTCCCGGAATCGCGGCCGACACTCGGAGTCGATCATCCAACCTGGGGTGGGGGTGAGGGGCTCAGCACACTCATCCTGGATGTTCAGGTGCTGGCTGCCCCTGCCTGCCAAACCTTGGGTCTACGCCACCCTCACGTGGCAGAGGCAGAGCAGGGCTACATCTATTGGGGCTCCATCTCGAACCTCAGTGTGTTTCTGTTTCCCTGCTTTTTCTTGGTTATTTGAGACAGGGCCTCACTGTAGCCCAGCTAGCCTCCATCCTCCTGCCTCAGCCTCCTGAGCACTACAATTACAGGTGTGCACCATCATCCCTGGCAGAAGCTCTTTAATTGTGCAAATAGTCCCTCCAGAGCCTTTGCTCTAGTCTGGAGCAGATGGAAGCCTCTGCTGTGAATAGGACAGGAGGCTTCTTCCAAAACACCCTGTGCCTCGGGCCCACCCACAGCCCAAGCTAGGTCCCTCCCCCCCCCCCCCCCCCCCCCCACCTCCCCTGGAAGCCACTGCCAGGGCTCCAGTGGCACCCACGTCCAGCAGTGCTAGGGAGCCAGACCTGGCAAGTAAGCATACAGAAACAGTGTCCAACCACTTGTTCTTGTAACAGCTTGCTGGATGCTGCCCCCCCCGCCTCTGCCCCTCCCCCACACACATTTGACCATGATCATGTAGACATCAATGGTGCAGATTGGGGGCTGGGGCAGCCGCTCTCCCTTCTCCAGCAGGTCGGGGATCTCACGGGCTGGGATCCCATCGTAGGGTTTGGCTCCAAAAGTCATCAGCTCCCAAACTGTCACCCCTGGGGCGGAGATAGTCTTCAGGAGTGGAGGAACCAGGGGTGCTTTGGTGCACCGGGTCACGGGCTCCGCCTGGGGCCTGGTACCATGGGGGGTGGCAAGGCCCACCCAGCATCTCCCCACCTTCTCTTCCGGTCACGCCCCCAGCCCACGCACCATAGCTCCACACGTCACTCTGGTGGGTGAAGCGCCGACGCAGGATGGACTCCAACGCCATCCACTTGATGGGTACCTGGAGGAGCAAAGTGGGAACTCTCCAATGGGGGGTGGGAAGGTGGTGCTCCCCAGGGACCTCTTGGGGCCGCACACCAGCCTCCGCCCGTCCCTGCTCTCTCCCCCGACCTTGCCCCCATCCGCATGGTACTCCGTCTCATCGATGTCCAGCAGCCGTGCCAGCCCGAAGTCTGTGATCTTCACATGGTTGGGGCTCTTCACCAGCACGTTTCGGGCAGCCAGGTCTCTGTGCACCAGGCGTACATCCTCCAGGTAGCTCATGCCCTAGGCATAAGGTACTGTGTGGACCCCGGGGCCTGGCCCAGCTGAGGTCCGCCACGTACCTGGTGCAGACAAGGCTCGGTTCCCGCAGTGCCTACCTTGGCGATCTGCACGCACCAGTTGAGCAGGTCCTGGGAGCCCAGGCGGCCGCGATGTTCCCGGACGTGGTCCAGGAGACAGCCGTAGGGCATGAGCTGCGTCACCAGCTGCACCGTGGATGTCAGGCAGATGCCCAGGAGACGGGACACATATGGGGAGCCCACCCCAGCCATCACGTAGGCTTCCTGCAGATAGGGGTACACTGAACAGGAGCAGGGGCCAGACCCAGCCAGAAGAGTGGAGACTGCAGCCAGGGGGTCGCCTAGGGGGCGGAGGGGCTTACATCCAAGATTTCCTTGTTGGCTTTGGGGGATGTGTTTTCCCGCAACACTTTGATGGCCACGGGGATTTTCACATTCTCACCATCGGGGATCCAGATACCCTGAGGAGGAAGAGATGTGGGGGGGGGTGTAGGATCTGCCAGCTCGCTCTCAGCGCTCCCCCAAACAGCCCCGCCCCTACTCAGCCCCGCCCACCTCGGGGCTCTGACCTTGTACACGGTGCCGAAAGCTCCAGATCCAAGCACCTTCACCTTCCTTAGCTCCGTCTCCTTCAGGATTCGCATCTGAGCCTGGTTGGGAATGGCCCCGCTGGGTGTGAGCGGCTCCACCAGCTGCAGAGAGGGTGTGGTGAGTCGGTGCCTGGCCAGCTGCGCAACCGGACACGCAGAGGCGCAAGGCCGCCTCACCTCGGTCTCCTGCAGCAACCTGCGCATGGTGTACTTCCGGATCTTCTGCCGCCTCCGCTTGATGATGAAGCCGACCACCAAACCCACGACCAGGAAGAGCAAGATACCCACCACAGCAGCGATGATGGACGTCACGGGGCTGGGGGCGGGAGCCAGGGTCAGTGATGGGGGCCAAACCAAGGCAGGGGCTCAAAGGGGCCCCGTGAAGGGACGAAGGTCCCAGACTTTTGGAACCGGAAGTGGGAAGGGTGACCCACAGGCTCTGGCCCTTTCCTCCACGCTCTTAATGCCTGCCATGGCTCCCTATGGCCTCCTCAGTGAGGGCGAGAGTCCCAGCCCAGGCTTCCGAGGAGTTTATTCCTGTGCAGCCTACGGGCACCCCCGCCCCTCGAGGTGCACCTGGGGTGACGCTGCAGCTGTGCACCCCTCCAGATCTCCCCGCTTCTAGCCTCGCACCTACGGCTGCTCTGGTCAGGGTCTCAAGTGGGTCCTCTGTCACAACCCAGCTCATCACCAGGCCGCAGGAGTTCCCAAGCATTTAGCTATCCCCCCACTCCTTGCCCAATGCAGGCCCTGCGCACAATCTCTAGGGGCTCCCCACATCTTCACAGCAATGCTCTGCAGCCTGATGCTCAAAGCCTCTGTCCCCCAAATCTACCCTTGACCAGGCCCCAGCTTCCTGGCTTCCTCTCTCCGCCCCCAGCAAAACCTTCAGCCAAACCTAGAGCCTGGCCCTCACCCAGCTGTCCACCAGCACGAGGCAGATGCCTATGCCCCTTTCAATGCCTGGCTCGACAGCCACCAGCTCTATGAGCCTCTGTCATGCTGTTAAGGAATCACCGGTCCAGCTGGGAGTGGTGGTGCACACCTGTCATCCGAGCACTCCGGGAGGCTAAGGCAGGAGGACTGAAAACTGGAGCCTAGCCCGAGCACCCTAGCAACTGTCTGAGACTTGTCTCAACACATTAAAAGGGGTGCAGGGTCGCTGGGGTTGTAGCTCGGCACACAGGCCCTGGGTTCAGTCCCAGTCTCACAGCAAACAACCCCACCCTTCGGGGGCTGCACTCTTGCTTCATCGAGCTGGAGTTCCAGGGAGCTGAACGTGGCCTGTGGCCCTCAAGAGACACTAAGCTCCCCCTGGGCGAGGGTCCTGGATCCTGCCCTGTCCATGCCCTCCTCATCCTGTGTAGGTCTCCAGCCACCTGGGGAGGCCAGTAGGAGGGAGGCCAGGCAGGGACTCATGGCAGGACTGCAGTGACCCCTAGGGACAGAGAGGGGGCGCCCTGCAGGTCCTCCTGGGGAACAGGCTCACCTGGCTCTCTGCTCTGCTGGGCAGCCCCTGTCATCCAGGTCGACACAGCTGCAAGAGAAACAGTGGCTTCAACAACGCCTGCCACACCCTCCACATGGGTGTGCTGGGGGTGATCGTCCTTTGTACAAGGCAGAAGCGAGCTGAGGTCACAGTGCTTCCAGACCCCAAGAGCTGGCAGGAGGGCTCCCCAGGGGCAGTGGGGAGCCGCCAGTTGTTCCCTCCATAAAGCATCCTGGGTAAAGCAACCCCTTCTCCTATGAAGAGTCTGGTGCCACCTATTCAATCCTGGGGCCTGGGGTGCACTTGGGTTGAGTATGTGCTCTGTGTGTGAGGCCCTGGGTTTGATTCCCAGCACCAACCCATCCGTGAGTAAAAGAACATCAGAGGCCTCATCGTCCACCTCTCGGTGTATGCCCTAAATGGACAACATCAGCACGCTAGGCAGCTGGCATGGGCTGCGCCTGCAATAAACTGGAAAAAGGAAACAGAAGCAGCCAGGCATGGGGGTACACGCCCCCAACCCCAGCACTCTGGGAGGCTGAGGCAGAGGGGCGCAAACTGAAGTCCAGCCCACGGAACTTAGCAGGACCCTGTCTCTGAATAAAAACTACAGTAGGACGAGGGATGTAACTCATTTCAAAGGCCTTGGGTTCAACCCTGAGTAGCACCAAAATAAACTAATTAATTAAAAGGAAGGGGAGCCAGGGAGATGGCCCAATAGAATAAGCACTTGCCTTGCAAGTGCAAGGGCCTGAGTTTAACCCCTGGTTCCGAAAAAAAAAAAAAGGGGGGGGGGAAGTATTCAAAAGTATTAATAGTAAGAAGTAGCAACATTAATTTATATTTTGTGTGTCAGTACAAAATTCTGTTTTTTTCTTTTTTTTTTTTTTCGGAGACAGAGTCTCAGTATATAATTCAGACCAGCCAGGAACACACAATGAAGCCCAGTCTGGCCTTGAATTCACAAGGATCTTCCTGCCTCAGCCTCCTGAGTGCTGAGATTACAGGTGTACAACCTCACACCCAGCAATTAAAGTGTTTAAGGTGTTACTTTTTCTGATTAAAAAAAAGAAATGAGCAGTTACATCTCAGGGCAAGGAAAGCAAAAATAGAGTTTTCCCCTTTGACAGTAAGGGCCTGAGACGGTCCCTCCCAGGAAAGCATCCCTCCCGAGACTCACGAGTGGGTGCAGTTGATTGGACACGGCTGGCAGGTGCCCTCCTCATCCGGGAATTTCCAGATGGGCATGTAGGACAGGTCAGGCTTCACACCACTGGGGCAGCGGGCCACACACAGGGGTGGGTCCTTGTAGTGGGCACAGGCCACGCACTGGTCAGCCTCCTGGGGACGAAGGGTGGGCAGGGAGTTGGCACCGACCCCAGCAGCAAGCCCGGTGTCCTCGCCCCAGCCCCTCCTCAATTTATTCCTCAGTCTCTGCACACCCAGCACCCCTCCCTCAAGTCCTAATCCCAAGTGGGGACTTTGACCTGGAAACCGAAGTGCCCAGAGAGGGTCATGCACCCGCCAAGGTGTGACATGGAGGGACAGTGACAACTACGGGGGAAGCCTTTCTCAATGCCCAGATGCCCAGCCAAGTCCTATTTAACTCCCTTCCCACTGTACGCCAACAAGGAAGGGACGGTTATAACATTCACCGCGTGAAGGAGAAACCGGGGTTGGACTTGAGTCCACACAGCCTGAGAGCCTGCGTCGCAGGGAGGACGGACATGGGCCTCCCTGGGTCTGCGTCACCCCCGGGCCCTGTGTCCAGCACATACAATAGGCAATGCCCACATCTGCATCCTCGGGCTCCCTTCCTGCCATCTGGATCTGAGCTTCTCACCAACCCGCCAGGGTCTGGGGGATCCCCATCTGAGCGCCCCCCAGCACCTCACCGATCCAAAGCAGGTCACAGAGCCATTCTGGGGCTGGCACTCAGGGTGGCACGGTAGACAGTGCCTGTCACTCACATACTCCCTGGGGAGCCTACAATGAGGGGTGGCAGTGAGAAGCTGGGGGATGCCTGTGCCCCCTCTGCCACCCCCTGCAGCCAGCCCCACGTACCCCTGTAGCACGTGGCATTCCCCCACGCACTCCTGGCCCCGGAGGAACTGGCTGCAGTTGACACACTGGGTGGGGCCTGGCCCCCAGCAGTGGCCGTGAGCACACAACGGGTTGCAGGCCTGGTCTTGAGCGGCTGCGGTGAGGAGGGGCGTAGGGGACTCTCAGGGGAGACCCTTGGCCCCCTAAGAACCCAGGCGCAGGTGCCAGGCCACGCAGCAGGGAAAGAGTTCTGAGACCGCAGAGTAGAGGGAAGGAGGGGCACGCTGCCAAGGCAGTGCGGCAGGACCCAGCAGGAAGTGAAATGGTGCCCACAGCCCTGCGGGCCACGACCAGGGGCGCTGCACAGGGCCCGGACTCCGGACGCCCATCTTACCACATTCAGCCTCTGGCCGGTTGCTGCTGTGGAGCAGGGCCTGGTGCGGGTTCCGGAAGAGCTGGTCCCAGGGCACCGTGTGCACGAAACAGAGCTGGGTGTTGTGGTGCACCAGCGCCAGGCCGCTGCCCAGCTCCCGCAGCGCGCGCAGTCCCAGCCACCGGATGCCCAGCCCTTGCACAGTGAGCGAGTAGGCGCCGCTGAGGAGGAGAGTGGGGCGTCTCAGCCTCAGGGCGGGGCGGGGGAGAGCTGCCTGCCCCTCTCTGGGGTGTCCCTGGGAACGGGGCTCCCCCTTGCCATCTCCCAGTTCTCACTTGTGCAGAACGCGCCCTCGGATGACCCGAAGGCTCTGGAAGACGCTGAGGTCTTGCATGGTTTCCGGCCATGCCGAGATGTACAGGTAACCTGTGGGCAGAGGGCGTGGCTAGGGGCACGGGACAGGCGGGGCCGCCCCACCCCAAGAGCAAGGTGAGCAAGGTGCGGAGGGCAGCACCCACCTGTTATCTCCTCCAGGGTCTCAAACACGCTGAGCTGCTTGGGCAGCAGGGGTGCTGTGTTGGAGGCAGGGTCCCTGGAAGGACAGGGAGGAATTAGGGGGCCCCTCGGCCACACCCACGCTGCACCTCGCCAGCACCTCCACCTTCAACCCCTTGCCCACTGGGCTGAGCTCTCTGCCGGCCCATTTGGTGCGGCAGGATCTGTGAAAACATCGCTTGCATCCTTCAATCTCGAAATCTTCCTTCTAGCAATGTGCCCGAGGAAAAACTGAAATTGGCCCAAGTGACCAACAGTGGAAAGGAGCGCTGACCCACCCAGGTCGGAGGACAAAAGCTAACATTAGAAGCACTCAGGATCTGCCTGGTGCTGTTCTGAGAACTGACAACCAACCCCCCCTACCCCCCACCCCTGTACCAGGAATTGAACTCAGGACCTTGCACTTAGCAGATAAACACTTATTCCACTGAGCTATCTCCCCTACCATTTGTTCACTTACTTTTTTTGTTTTTGTTTTGCTCCGAATGCCTTCAGGGCAGGTTTGGCTGGCTTGAATTGTGGGGATCAAACCACAGCAACCTGAGCCTGACTGCTTTGTTGAAGCAGCCACTTAAAGAACTGAGCTAAGGGGCAGGCCCCCTCACTTTTTGAGACAAAGTCTCCCTACTCCTTCAGGTTGGCCTTGAATTTGCTCTGTACCTCAGACTGGCCTGGAGCTCTCTGGGATCCTCCTGCCTCAGCCTTCCAGGCACCAGGATTACAGGTGTGCACCGCCCCCAGCCCCTGAGGATTCCACTGTACTATAAAGCACCGTGCATTTATCCACTCCCCTACTGACATTCACTTGGATCCTCTCCAGTAGGAGGCTTTAGGAGACAAGCGGCCATGAACAAACTCAATGGGACCTGATCCCGGAACTGTCATCACTCCGAGCTGAGCTCACGTCCCCAGTGCCCCCAGCAACATGTGGCCACATCGGGGGCCTCGGGCCAGGTCTGCCCCACATAGCCCACTCTCACCCCTCAAAGCTCTCGGGCAGAAACGCCAGGCTCCCAAAGATCTTCTTGCAGCCAGCAAACTCTTGGATGTTAGCACTGGTGACAGCCCTGGCGGCCCGGAGGTGCTCCATGCCCAGCCCGTAGCACACTGCAGGGCGGAAGGCATGGCTCAGCCCGACCTGGCCGCCGGAGTCCCTCACCACACCAGCAGGGCAAGGCTGGGCGCAGGGCGGGCACCTCGGGCACATGGCCTGCTACACTTCTCACAGCGCTGGGTTCCATCCTCTGCTGTCACCTCCTGGTTGTTCAAGGGACAGACCAGCGTGCAGGAGCCCACATCCGTGGAGAGGTAGTTGTCTGTGGAGACAGGGACGCGTGTCCGTGCACAACTTGTGACCAGAGTCACTGTGCCTGGTGCCAGACCAGTACCACCACGCAGTGCATCGGAACCTACGTGACATTCCTCAGAGCAAGGGCGCGTGATGAGCAAAAGAGGAAGCCAAAAGCTGGGTGCGGTGGTGCACACCTGCCTTCCAGGCAGGAGGGTCACAAATGCAAGCCCGGTGCGGCCAGCTTACTGACTTAGGGAGACCCTGTCCAAGGTAGATAATGAAAAAGCAATGAGGTATATTCACTATTAATTTTTTTTTTTTTTTTTTTTGCAGAGCCAGGAATTGTATTCAGGCCCACTGACTTATCTCCCCGGCCCTTAAATGCATTTTTATATTTCTCAGTCAAATGAGAATTTAAATCATCATTCATTTAATCATTAAATTAAAATATCATTCAATACTTCCGGAAGCTTTTGTGTTGTACGCTGTATAGAAGACAGTAATGATTGCTTAGCACATCTCGGACTGAGTAAGTATGACAATGCCCTTGAACTCCCAGTGACCCTCCTGCCCCAGCCTCCCAAGTGCTGGGATTACAGGCATGTACCACTATACCTGTCTCCCATTTTACAGATAAGAAAACCAAGGCGTAGCAACAAAGTGGCATGCTGAGTAAGTGCCACCTGCTCCGTAGCTATCAGAAGAACCAGGAAGCTCAGGATCTGCCTCTGAGACAAGGGACACAGTCTCCACATGCTCCCCACCGCTGGCACTCACAGGGACAGGTGGTCACACAGCTGGCACCAAAGGTGTAGCGGCCTTCGGGGTTGGGCATGGACTCAAAGGTGTCGGTGTTGTAGGTGACCAGAGCCGGGCAGTGCAGCTCACAGATGCCACTGTGATTGAAGTGCAGGCAGGCCTGAGGGGACAGGTGGCCGTGTCTCCCTGGGTACCAGGGCACAGAGTAGTGCCAGGTGGGGTACCCACCCCTCGCAGGAGGCGTACCAGGCAGTCGGAGTGCTTGGGGCCTGTGCAGCCCGCAGCACACTGCTCGTGACAGCAGTCAGTGGGTTGGGGACCCTTGCAGCGGGCGCAGCCACCAGCACACACCGTGCGTGTCACTGTCAGGGGAAGGGCAAGGTGAGGGTGGGCAGCAGGTAGCACCCAGGCGGCTACCTGGCACCCAATCACCCTGCCCGGGACAGCCCCAGACTCACAGCTCTGACAATCCTGGGAGGTTCCTCCCCAGCAGTAGGGGGTTCTGCAGGCTGGGGAGCACGGTGGGCCTGGAAGAGAGGCAGGGAGAGGCGGTGAGCGACAGAGCGGGGGGGGGGGGCGCCTAGGGCATCATCCCAGAACGTGGAAGGCTGAGACAGGAGGATCACCACGAATTTGAGGCCAGCCTGGGCTATGCCGCAACCCTGGACAAAGGGTCTCCACACCCAGAGGCAGCAGCAAGAAGTGGAGGGGAGAAAGAAAGAAATGGGAGAGACAGACTGAAGAGGCAGAAGAGGAACAAAAGAGGGGGAGGAGGGCAGAGGGGAGGCGATCGTCGGAGTGCGGCTTACAGGTTCGAGAGCGGTTGGTGTCCACCCATACGGGGACCAGCCGGTTGTTCTTGTGGAAGATGTCCTCCCACAGGATACTGTCCTGGTGGCACAGCCGGGGGTTCCGCTGGATCAGGACCCCTCCCTTCAGGATCTCTGTGGAGTGGGCATGGTCAGGGCTCTGCCTTGGGCCATCTCCAGGCTCTTGGGGCGCTGCCTTCTGGAGGAGCTGACCCAGCCACAGCACCCCAAGCCTGGAGCAACGAGGATGCCTATGGGTGCACGTTCAGGGGACACAAACACCACCCTTCCTGTACCTCACCAGTGGACCCTGCATGGTGGCGAGGCCAACGCTGAGGCTCAGGGTAAAACACCTGCTGGCATGCACAAGGCCCTGGGCTCTGCCCCAGCACCAAGGGCGGCCCTCAGGGTTGAGCACGGACAAAAAAAATTACTAATAATATAAGAGGCCCTAGAGCCGGGTGTGGAAGACCACACTTGTCACCCCAGCACTCAGGGAGCTGAGGCAGAAGGATCACCAAAAGCCCAGCCCGACTACAAGGCTTAACTGTGCACACTGGGGCAAGCAGTACCTTCCGGAGGGAAGGGGATTTTTTCCTTTGTTGTTTCTCAGCGCTGGGCCAGAACCCAGGGCCTGCAACATGCTGGCCCCGGGAATTCCCAGGCACCAAAAGGTTTCAACGACAGTGAAGGCCACCTGTGAGACTCCGGAGCTGCAGCTCCTGCAGCCCTCCCGGAACCGGGGTGGTACTCTCCAGAGGGTCCCCGTTGTCCAGCACGGCCAAGGCATAGCTGTCCTCAAAGAGCTGGGTGCCCCTCACGATCCGCAGCCTCTGCAGTGGGATCTGCCTCACTTGGCTGTGAGCGATGAGCAGGTAGCCCTGTACCTCCTGGATGTCCTGGGAAGGGGCGGGTGGAGCCATGAGGCAGGGCTGGGCCCAGGCAGCCACAATACTGGGGCCTCCAGAGATGCTCTGACAGTGGGGTGCACTCCCATAATTTTAGCATTCAGGGAGCTGAAGCAGGAAGATCTCTGTAAATTCACCATGGCCAGCCTGGGCTACAAAATGAGTTCAAGACCTGCCTGGGCTACGGTACGTAGCCAGACCCTGTCTCAAAAAACAACCATAAAAACAAGATAGAGGTTGCTCCTAGCTGGCTTCACCAGATTCTCACAGGATGGAGAAAGGCGAGAGCACCTGGAAGCCCCCACCACCCTGCACCTCAGCTTTCTGTCTGTAAAAGGCCAGGCCCACAAGAGGTCTCCAGGTAACAAACCGAGCAGCTCACCCCAGCCATCCACAGCCAGGGATGCAGCCCTGCCAGCTGGTCCTGTGTTCCCATAGACGTTTCTCTTATCCCTTCCCCAGGGTCTCCCTAGGCAGAGAGGAGTACAGACTCCACACACTGCAGGGCTGGGTCCCGAGCCCACATCTCCCATCTCTGCTCATTCCAGGTGGGAGAGGGACAGTGACAGGGCAGGGGAGGTGACCATGCTGCAAGGGAGTACAAAACTGAGCAGACCCAGCATGGTGGCACACGCCTTTCATCCCAGCACTGAAGCTGAGGCAGGAGGGTCACCTTGAGTTTGAGGCCAGCCTGGGCTACATTGTGAGACCATCTCAAAAACCAAACCCATAACAACACCACCACCACTGCAAAACATCGAGCAGCAACATGGACACGCCCCACCCAAAGGTGTCCACGGCCGGGACCGCTTGGCTGAGGAGGAACACCGGCTCGCCCTGGTCCTCACCTGCAGGAAGGCGAGGTTGGCATCCGCGGGGAGGTGGGTGAGCTCCAGGTTCCCCTGCACCACCTGGCAGCCCTGGTAGAGGGTGCGGAGCATCTCCAGGTGGGTCTCGGGGCTGGCAGGGAGCTGCAGCTTCATGTCTGTGCCCGTGCACACTGGCAGGAGGGACGGACCGGTCAGGATGCTGCCCAGACGGCCCTCCACATTCCCTGCCCCGTGTCCCCCGGCCCTTCTGGCAGGCCCCACATGGGAGGACGCTTTCAGGGAAACTCCAGGCTCCCCAGCTGCACCCACCCACAGCAACTCCAGGGCGTGAGCCCCTTGGGATGTCCGTCAACACCAGCCAGTGCAGGGTGGCAGTGAGCAGAGAAAGCCTCCCTTTGTCCCCAGGAGTGACACCAGGCTGAGGGTAAAAATCCCCCAAGAGAGGCAAGGATGAATCACAAGACCTCGGGATCCCCCCGCGATGGCCCAGGCAGAACAGACTCGGGACGCTCTCCCGGCGCCACTCCAACACCCACGTGCCCACCTCCCACTCAGGCACCCACCCCACAATGCCACCCAGAGAGGGCAGAAGGAAGGCCAGCAGAGTCATAGCTGGGGCACAGGGGACCCCCAGGACCTGATACCCCCCACAGGGACAAAGAGCCTGGCCCTGCAGCCGCCTTTGCCAGCACCTCACCCTGGCCTCCTCCTCAGGGCCAGGCTGCAGAACCAGCTGGCAGAACCCATGCCACAGACTCCTGCCACAGGATACAACGTCACCCCTGTGAGCCTTCCTGGCACCAGTCAGCAGCCATGGGGCATAGAGACAAATCGCTCGCCACACCTGCAACTCAGCCTGGTGCCTAGGACCCCAAGCCGTCACCAAGCCCAGGCCTACTGCTGGGCAAGCGCCCCAGTGAGGGGCTCTGGGTGACAGCCAACGCCAGGCCTGCCACCCAGAGTAGATTAACGTGCCCAGTGGAACTTGTTTTTCTGCTCTGGTGAGAAGATGAATCACCCAGCTCGTGGTGCCCGGGAGGCTGGGGGGGCACCTGGGATACACAGGCCCACAGGTGCCGGCTGCCCGGAATCCTGCCGGCCCCTGCTGCCCTCCCAGGGACTCTGCAAATGCAAGGGACACCGTCACTAGGTTGAGACCTGAAGAGAGGTGACATGGAGCCTGCAGTCAAATCCTAGGGGCCACCCTGGGCAGCTCCCTAGGTTCCCATCTCGGCCAAGGGCCACATACCAGTAGCCTCCTGGTGTCACCTAGAGTGTTTCTGTCCCCACCCCAGGCAGACCAAAGGCAGCAGAGAAAGGGAACAGCCCACAAGCAGAACCCCATCCACCCCAGGACAGGGGGTGAGCCCCTGGCCCCCTACTCCAGGCCACACACCCCAGCACCCCTGCCCATCCCACCCCTCCCCCGCAGGCTCCCAAGAGAAATAGGAGCCTGGGTGGCAGCCAGGCCCAAAATAACGTCCACTGCCGGGACCTCCCCCGGCCTCCAAGCTTCAGCTGCTCTATAGGCACAGCTGTCTCAAGGCCAGACCCCAGGCCCTGGCCAGGCTGGGGACAGGGAGCCCAAGCCCTGCGGCCACCACCTCCAAGGAACACCAGCTGTGCAGCCAGGCAATCAGAAAACAACAGTGCCAGGGGCCGGGGGCACCTGAGCTGGGTATCGCCCTTGCATGGCCTCTCCTCACCCTCCAGGCCCAGGCTGCCACCTCTGTTTCACAAAGAAAAAAAAAAAAAAAACTGAGGCCAGCAGGGGTCAGGGTGACCCAAGGCTGCAAAGAATGGGAACCTCCTCAGAGGCACGATTTGAACTCGGATCTGGGTGGCCACATCCTTCATCCTTTCCAGGTCACTTAACTGCATGCAAACACAAAGACACACACACACACACACACACACACACACACACACACACACACACACACAATCACACCTTGTACGTAAACAGTAACTCTCCCAAAGCCACTGCCAAACACCAGGGCTGGAGGCTGGGCCGGAGGTCAGCGAAGGCAGCGGCCCCACCCTGCGTGCCGTTTGTTTACCTGCATTGTGGCCGCCCCAGCGTTTGCAGACCAGTGGTAACACCAGCCTCCAAAATCTGCTGCCACCCCAGCCAGGCTGGCATCCCTTCTGCGCCCCAGCTCCTCACCAACCTCCCCAGACCCATTAATTTTCTCCTGCAGCAGGAGGTCCTATTTCCTCTGGGAGGACGCAGGCCTAGGGCCCCCCACCCTTTAACCCTGGGGCAAAGATGGTGAGAGGCCCAGAGTGAAAGCCATCTAAGTGCCTTCCTTCCCTGAGCGAATGAATGAATGAATGAATGAATGAATGAATGAATGAATGAATGAATGACAAGAGTAACCAAAACAGGCAGGCTTGGTGAAGAAGGCCTGTAATCCCCCCACTCCCTTTCTGAGCTCTGAGGCAGGAGGATCACCATGACGTCTGAGGCCAGCCTGGCCTACACAGCCAGACCCTGCCTCAAAAAAAAAAAAAAAAAAGTAAGAGTGTCCAACCTAAAGGGCCAATGGAGGTCACAGTATCCCTCAATAAGCCGGAGTTGGTCACACCCCTTCGGTCCCCTGTTGGGCTTTGGTGACTAGTGCTTGGGCCCTTGGGTGGGCCTTCTCTCTCCCCTGGCCTTGGCCCCAGCACCCTGCTTGCTGGTAGGGTCAAGTGAAAGCCAATACCTCCTCTGGTCTCCACACACACCCCAGGGAAGTCCCTGCAACCCCAGCATCCCCTCACCTTGAGCCAGGGGCCCAGAGCCGTACTAGGGATGCCAAGACCCCTATCAAGCCGGGTCTCCCCAGGGCCTGTGCTCAGGGTTTGGGACCTGAACCCTAGGCCAGCCACTCCCCAAGTGACCCCAAGCATGGCTCCAGGCCTCTAGGCAGAGGTTGAATCAGATTCTCCTCCATGACAAGCAGGCCCGTGGCTTAACCTGCACGCTTGATGTGACTATTTTCTGACCTCAAAGTGGCCATGTGCCTGTCCCTCCGAGAAGGACCAGGGGCCGCAAAGGGGCAGATGGACCCAGCAGGCATCTGTCTGTAAACACCACTCAGCTTTGTAAACAGAACTGCGGGGACACAAACGTCAGCTCTGAAAACTCCCACTGCTCCACTCGGGCCTGTAACCCGGCTCCCTTCCCAACAGGGTCAACCCAGCACCCTGCCTGGGCTCTGCAGGGTGACCCTGTGTGGCTCAGGTGCTGCCCGTCCGGCCCACCATCTGCAGCCATGCCTGCGGGCACCGGCCGGACAGGAAAGGAGAAGCCCCTGGCCTCGGCCCTCCTTCCGCAGCCCTCCTTCCGCAGCAGGGACAAGCAAGTGGGAAGCCTTACATTGAGGTGACTAGCACTCCTCTGGGGTGACTGCCCAAGCCACTGCCCACCCTGACTCCTCCTCAGTACAGTCTCTGGGCACGCAGAGTAGCATGGGAAAGCTGGGGAGCCCTGTGCATGTCTTCCCGCTCGTGCACCCCTTTTTTCAGGTCTATGTACTTCCATCAAAGGATGGAGCAGGGATGAAGTAAGAAAACTGGTTAGAGGCCAAGCGTGGTGGATTACATGCCTGTAATCCTAGCACTTGGGAGGCTGAGGAAGGAGGATCACCATGAGTTTGAGGCCAGCCTGGGCTACACAACAAGGCTCAGTCTCAAAAACAAAATAAACCGGGCTGGAGAGATGGCTCAGTGGTCTAAAGCACCTACTTAGAACAAGCTTAGCAAAAGCATCAGGGACCGCGGTTCAATCCCCCAGCACCACATGCCAGC